ACCTCCTACATCTGCTCATCACCGTGGTTCTCCTCCACCTCCTACATCTGCTTATCAATCACTAAGGTTATGCTCCACCTCCTACATCTGCTCATCACAACGGTTCTCCTCCACCTCCTAAATCAGCTCATCACCATGGTTCTGCTTCACCTCCTACATCACCGTGGTTCTGCTCCATCTCCTACATCTGCTTATCACCGCGGTTCTGCTCCACCTCCTATATCTGCTTATCACTGCGGTTCTGCTCTTTCCTTTTTTTTTTTTTTTTTTTGGAGAGGAATCTCACTCTGTCACCCAGGCTAGAGTACAGTGGTGTGATCTCGGCTCACTGCAAACTCCGCCTCCTGGGTTCAAGCGATTCTCCTACCTCAGCCTCCTAAGTAGCTGAGATTACAGGTGCCCACCACCACACCCAGCTAACTTTTTGTATTTTTAGTAGAGACAGGGTTCACCATGTTGGCTAGGATGGTCTCCGTCTCTTGGCCTTGTGATCCGCCCGCCTTGGCCTCCCAAAGTGCTGGGATTACAGGCCTGAGCCACCTCGCCCAGCACCCATCTATTTTCTTATTGACTTATAAGAGCTATTTATTTATGCTGGGTACTCATCAGTTATAGACATGACAGATGCTGCCGTCCCGTTCGTGGCTTCTGTTTCCACGTTTTTGAGGAGTCCTGAACATCAGGCTTAAGTTTTACATGGCTGACTTATTGGTCATGGATGATTAGCACTCTACACGTCTTGTTAAAAATATCCTTCCCTACCTGGAGGGCAAAAGCATGGTCACGTTCACTTTTTTCCGTAAGTTTTAAAGTTTTGTTTCAGCATTCACATCCCATATCCACTGAGGACTGACTTTGTGTGTGGTATGAGGTAGGTGTGACAGAAGGAATAGTGACCCCCAACGGTGTCCACATCCTTGTCCCTGGGACCTGGTGTGAAAGCGATGATATGGATGGGAGTTACCCAACACGACGACAGTCGGGAGACCAGGGAAAAAGCACTCGGACGCACGCGCCTGCCCAGGATTGCATCACAGGCCAGCGCCCAAAATGGCCTGCTGTGACCTGAAAGCCAGTTTGACCTGGGAGCTGCTGAAGTGACCTCAATGACGTGAAGATGCCTTCTGCCCCCACCTCCCTCCCAGTCAGGGCTCACCAGCTCCCAAAACTTCACCAGCTCCAGCGAGCTTTCTTTCGAAATGATACACAACATTGCTCCTTCTAGTAAAGGCCCCTCCTGTTGCGCTGCAGATCTACCAAAGACCGCCCGTCCTGTGTGCATGCCCCAAATTGCAATTGTTTTTATGTATTTTTCCAGACAAAACGTTTTACGTAAAAATGCGTCTCTATCTGCTTGACTTTGACACTGGGGGCACGTTATTTCATGTGGCAAAACGGACTTTGCTGGTGGGACTGGGGTTCCAGACCTGGTCAGACTTGGAGGGTCAGAGCACCCGGCTTATCCAGGCAGACGTCCTTCAATCACCTGTTTCCGTAATAACCAAGCGGGTTTCCCAGCCCTGCTCAGAGATGAGTGCCAGTGGAGCATCCACGTGTGAGGGGTTAGACTGGCCGTTGCTGGCTTTGAAAATGGAGCGTGGGGCCAGGACTGAGAAGAGCAGTGGCCTCTGGGTGCTGGGAAAGGCCCCCAGCTCACACACACGGCAGTGCCGGGAAAGGCCCCCAGCTCACACACACACCAAGAACACAGATCTCAGTCCTATGACCACAAGGCACTGACTTCTGTAGCCACCAAATGAGCAGGAGACGAGCTCCCCCCGGAGGCTCCAGGAGCCAGCCCTGCCCACACCGTGGCTTGAGTCCAGTGAGATCCCTGTTGGGCTGCTGAGCCCAGGACGGCCAGGTGATCGCTTAGTGTTGCTGGAGCCTCTGTTTGTGATATGTTAAGGCGGCCGCAGCAGAGAGGAACACACTAGGAACCTGGTTTATTTTCTGCCAGGCGGACGCCCCAGGTCCGGGCAGTCAGAACCCCACACTCCCCACAGCCTGGTCCCCATCCCCCTCTATTTTCTGCTCAAAGCAACATCACAGGGCATTCAGAAATCAAGCACTGTGGCTGTGAACATTTTGCTTTTCCACAGGACATCGGAGCAGACAGGGACCCTCCAACTCTCCCCTGAGGGTGGGCGGAGTTCTGCTGTCCCCACCCACTCCTGGGCTCCTCTGGCTCCTGCTGTAGAGACACCAGCCCTGACCCCACCGAGAAGGTGCCGGGTGCAGCTCCTCCAGCCGTGTGGCCCCGGGAGTTTCCCATGACCCTGGAGCGCTCATCTGCGTCTCCTCTCCACCACGGGCTGCCGTGAGGGCCAAACGCGCTGCAGCCTGCGTGCTCGGGGTGTGCTGCGAGCTGGAGGTTGCCAGATCCTTAACCCCGTGTCACTGGCGCAGGTTTAGGGAGCAGCCTTGGGTGCGGTGCTCTGAACGAGGTCTCCTGGAAACCGCAGTGGCCACAGGCCCTCCAGCGGCAACAATGCCAAACTGATCTCTTTGTGGAAGGCACCCACAGATCTTGGTCAAGTTTAAGAGAGAAAAATAGCCGGGCGCGGTGGCTCAGGCCTGTCATCCCAGCACTTTGGGAGGCCGAGACGGGCGGATCACGAGGTCAGGAGATCGAGACCATCCTGGCTAACACGGTGAAACCCCGTCTCTACTAAAAAATACAAAAAAATAGCCGGGCGTGGTGTCGGGTGCCTGTAGTCCCAGCTACTCGGGAGGCTGAGGCAGGAGAATGGCGTGAACCCGGGAGGCGGAGCTTGCAGTGAGCTGAGATCCGGCCACTGCACTCCAGCCTGGGCGACAGAGCGAGACTCCGTCTCAAAAAAAAAAAGAGAGAAAAATAAGTCACTGAGTGCAAGGTGAGGGTTTAGGAAACTTCAGGCCAAGAAAGGGGGTTTTCCCACGGCCTCCTGGATGGGACCAGACCCTCCCAGGGGCCTTTCTGCCTGGAGTCCTCCGAGAGACCCCTTTCCCGACAGCGGTGATGGCGCGGCTGCGTCTGGGAGCAGAGCATCTGGGAGATGGGACGGGGAGCTGGAGAGGGCTTTGCGATGGGACGGGGAGCTGGAGAGAGCTTTGCGTGTGTTGATGAACTGGGTCTCTTGTGTGCCAAGTGGTCACCATGCCCGGACGGCTGGCCCCACATTGGTGGCAGGGGTGAGGGACACAGCAGGACTCTGGGGTGGGCTAGCACTGGGTGGAGGTGGGGGTCTTAGGCCTGGGAGCCCAGAAAGGGAAGGGATGGTCAGGGACTCTCCCTGCATGGGGGACTGACAGTCTTGAGTCTTCAATGATGAGTAGAAAACCACCAAGCACAGAAGGGGGAAGTGCTGGGCAGAGGCACAGGGGAAAGGCTGGATGGGGCACAGCACGGAGAGGGAAAGACTGGTTGGGGGCACGGAGAGGGAAAGACTGGGTGGGGGCACAGCACAGAGGGGGAAAGGCTAGGGGGGCACGGAGAGGGAAGGGCTAGAGGGGCATGGAGGGGGATAGGCTGTGTGGGGCACGGTGTGGCAGAGGCGGGAAATTCAGCTCCTTTGACGAGCTGCGACGCGGTCCGGAAGGCTGCAGCCTGGGGAATAGTCCAGTTATAACCATGATTTTGTTGTGAGAATCGGAACAGCCTAGTTTGAAGTTATTTCTCAGGACAGGTTGGAGCTGGAAGGGTCTGTATCCCTGAGGGTGCAGTTCTAGCTGCTGCGGATTGGAAACTTCGCCAAAACCACTTAGTACTGAGGACACTTATTGTTTCAAGTAACGAGAAGCCTGGACACAGGGTGGATTCCAGGGCTGCTAAGTTCAGAGGCTCGACAAGGGCATCAAAGACCCGCTTTTCAGTCCATCTGCCTTCAGGCTGGCAGGCCTCATGGTCACAAGGAGGCTGCCTGGGCTCTGGACATTACAGACGGGCCCAGCAGTGACAGGAACGGGAGACGCGGTCTCTTCCTTGTGTCTCCTTTTAAGAGAGGGAAGCCATATCTAGATAACCCCTGCAGGGTCCCCTCAGGCCTCCTTCCTAAACCAATCCTGGGAGGTCCCTGTGAGCCACGACTGCCAGGACTGAGTCCTGATGCCAGCGCGAGCCCAGGTGACCGGCATTGTAGACAGCGCAGGGGTTAGAATGTGGACTGTGGAGAACGTGGGGGACACTCTCCTGTTGCCGCGGCCACCACAGACACATTTGGGTGCTGAGGGAGTGAGGCCGCGGGGGCTGGGAAGGGACCTGTACATGGGGGACAGCAGGCGAACGTCACTCCGGAACCAGCCCAGCTCTGAGGCTGAAGGCAGGTCGGAAAGGGAGCTCAGCAGTGACCCCCGTGGCCTCCAGAGCTCTGTGTACGAGAGCCGGCGGGCCACAGACCCCGAACACCAGGACCCGGACAATGCGGAGCTGGGACCGGAGGACCCGGAAGAGGAGCTTCCCCCCGAGGAGGTGGCCGGGGAGGAGTTCTCGGAGACCCTGGATCCCAAAGAGGCTCTTTCTGAGTTGGAGGGAGTTCTGGGCAAGGACTTAGAGGAGGACATTCCTGAAATCAGGTGGGCACCGCGGAGCGGCCCTGCCCGGGTGCGGTGGGGGAGGGCTCAGCCCCCTGGGTGCAGGCCCCTGGGCGTGCGAAACGGTTGTTCCCTGCGTGGGCCTGGTCAGCTGGCGGCCAGCACCCCTCACTGGGCCCTGAGGCAAACACCAGCACACGCTCCCCTAGCCAGCGGCAGGAGGTGGAGTAAACAGCGCTGTTTGGAGTCAGGCAGACTGAGTTCAGGTGCCCAGAGTTCACAGTTTAACAAGTGATGGCCTCAAGTCAGACAGTGAGAAAAAGAAATGGGAAAAAAAAGCCTCCCAACTCAAAAGCTGAAACAATTCTAAGCACCACACGTGGTTAAAACGTTTTAAATGGTCGGGAGGAACACGTTCTGGGTGAACGAACGCTTCAGCGAATCGGCACTGGGGGCAGTGATTCTGGGCAAGTTGCCCGAGTGTCCCCAGCAAGGCGCGACTCTACCTACCTCTGGAACTTGGCTCCTGCCCTCCCTGCAGAGTGTGGTCCCGGCCCACGCCCACGCCCGGGTGCTCCCTTCTCACCGTGGTCTCCGTGCCGCCTGGGGACTCGTGCCGCCCAAGAACAAAGCAGCGGCCCTGTCCTCCCGGGGCTGTGCCAGCCTGCAGAGAAAACGGCAGGAGTGTGAGGGGCTCCCGGGGAGGACACGGGAGCCAAGAGCTGCGACAGGGCAGACGTCCTGACGTTTGGCATCTTCGCCTGCTGCCTGTGTCCCTCCCGCGGTCTGTGAGCTTTCTGGGAGGCAGGCGCTGCTCTCTTTAGAGGCTGGTGGCCCCTCTGGGGCCTGGCATACAGTAGGTACTTGATAAATGTTTGTGAGATGCGCAAACATTACCTTAGAACTCACTGAAACGGCCCCACCAGGTGGGAGCTGGTCTCATGTCCAATTCACAGAGGCGGCGGCTGAGGGCCTGGGGAGCCGGGTGACCTGGCCAGGGTCTTCCATCCAGCCAGCAGTGGAGCTGCGGTTTGGTCCAGGCCTTCGTGGTGCCAAAGTCCTCCCCCAGAGACCCTTCTCGGGAAAGGAGAGGCGGGTGGGCAGGGCGCTCGAGCAAGACCCACGCTTCTCTGGGCCCCCAAACGCGTCGGGGCGAGAAAGCAGCTCCAACTTCAACATGGAATTCTCCCAAAGCCGGCTGTCCATCAGCCAGAAGCTCCCCAGCACCATCATGGCCAAAGCAAGGAGGAAGAGGAGGCGGAGGAGGCTCATGGAGCTGGCAGAGCCCAAGATAAACTGGCAAGTCCTGAGAGACAGGTGAGGACAGGCCAGACCAACCACGGCCGGCCTCGGGGGGGCAGCGCTGGGGCTTCCTCTGTCCCCTTCCCGGGCTCCTCCTGTCCCCACTGCTCGGCTCCCCTCCCACAACCGCCACCACATCCAGCAAACTTAGGGTAGATGGGGTTGGCCAGTTAAGGAGGTGGCCAGACGCCGGGACTGGCTAGGGAACTGCGGCCCTCGGTGGCCCTCTGGGCGGTGGCCAAAGGAGAGTGAGGAGTTTGGGAGCAAACGGGAGACCCAGGGCAAAAGGTGGTGGGGGCTCGGACCCTGTCTCCTCGCAGGAAGGGATGCTGTGGTAAGGGGTATGCCTGGATTTTCCCATGCAAGATGAGCTTACGGTTCTGTCTCTACTGGTAAGTCCAGGGCTGTCTCCTCCATCTGCCTATGCCGGGGGACACGTGTCAGGTTCCGGGGAGCCCCTCCCCTCGAGCCACCCTCTTCTCTCTAGGGAGGAGGATGGGGAGGGCTCCTCAGATGTGGGGCTCTCCACCCTTGTGCTTTGGACTCGGGCAATCGGCTGTGACCTGGGTCTGCTCCCAGGAGATGGCGCTGGGCCCTCTTCTGAGCTATGCTTTTCCCCAGCTACCTCCCTCTCTGGACATCAGCCTTGCTCACAACAATCCACACGTCCCGTTGGCCCCCTCCCTGTCCTACCCCCTCTTCCAGCAACTCCACACCCCCCCCTTGGCCACCCTCCCGGCAGAGACCCCGGCTTGTTTCCGGGCAGGGCCAGGGCTCTCTGCCTCCCTTGCCCTGAGCTGCTCACTTATTCCAGGCCCTCTGTGTACTGGACCGAGCGGTTCCTTGAGGACACCACCCTCACCATCACAGTGCCCGGTAGGTGGAGCCCGTGCCTGCTGAGACCCCTGCCTCCGGCTGCTGGCCTCCAGGGAACCTGCCCCACCCCATCCAGATACTTCTGGCCTCCCTTGCCCCATATCCTGGGAGCCTCTGTCCTGTCCACTGGAGTCTGTCCCCTGAGGAGCCTGAGCTGAGACTGGTCCTGGGGGTGAGGGTTGTGGGGAACACGCTCCAGGACAGGGCCAAATCGGGGCAAGAATTTAGAAGAAGACCCCCGGCTTTCCCTTCCACAGTGATTTCCATGCTTTTCTTGAGAGGAATTTGGTATTGAGGTATCATAGATACCTTCAAATGAGACACTTCGAGAATTCCCCATAGAAAGGAATAACAGTCCAGTTCCCTCCTGCGCTGTTCCTGACTTTAGACCCACAGTCGTCACTAGGCCCCTGGAAACCCCAGGCTTGTACGAACTTCAGAACAAAACCCATTTTCCCAGATCTGTACCGAGCCCCGTTGAGGAGCCACGGGGCTGAGCTGCCATTCCAGCCCTGCCACTCCCATCCCGTGTCCGAGCAAGGACCTTCAGGCCTCTGAGCCCATTGTCCCTAAATCAGGGACAGCAAGTCTTCTCTCTGCGGGGTGTCTGGTCCCCAGCTGTCTCTGCCCACAGTTTTTCCAATTCGGCCTCCTGCCCAAGCTCGTGAAAAGCTGAATTCCGCATGCAGAAGCCCTGGGAACTGCAGGGTGTTTACGCTGGGGTTCACCAACTCCGTTTCCCGTTTTGCGCAGCAGTGTCCCGCCGAGTGGAGGAACTGTCTCGGCCCAGGAGATTCTACCTGGAATATTACAACAACAACAGGTGCGGGAAGGAGGGGAGGAGGACTGGGTGCCTACTCGGAGGGCAGAGTTTGGCAGAAATGCCTTATTCTCCCCTGACAGGATGCGGCGTGGGGAAGGGTCCAGGTCCTAGCTCTAGGCAGCCTGTGTTCAGATGGGGCTGGCCCGCTTCCCAGCCCACGTCCCCAGCAGGCTGCTGGGCCCCTTGCAACCGCATTGCCAGCTGTGGAATGCTGGTGGTGGAGGTCATCCGTGAAAGGGGCTTTACACAGTGCCTGACACAGTGCGTGCTCAGATGTTGTTATCACCATTGTGACTGTATTTTGTGTACTCGAAAAAGGTAGAAATTGTAAGACATATTATTTTATGTACAAAATTCTTTATCACTTGGAGCCCCCGTGCTTGTTAAAAGTGATACTGAGTTATTTCGACACAACGTATCGTTATCCATCTTTATGCAGTGTATGAAGGAAAGCACAGCTGAAGGAGACAGCAGAAGTGTGTCCAACTGTTTTGAACCACTTCTGACACAGAGACGATGTGGGTGTTGCACACACACTGTTCCACACCGGTATCTGGTGCACTTTTTAACGCCAAATCATATTGTAACCTGAAGACAATTTAAATTGCAATTAAACTTAACTCCTGTAGAAGCAGCAGTGCACATCACGTGAACAGCTACATCTGAGCACACACAGAGGCAGCCAGATGTGGCCATGACACTTCCGCCATCTGGCTGGCAGCACTTGTAAGCTGCATCCCAACCTCAGACCTGTTCCAGTGTGGAGAATCAGTGAAATGTGGCTTTATTTCCGGGCAGAGGCATAGCTGAGACCTGATTTTAGAAGGCGCAGCCCCGCGAGCTCAGCTGTACTTCGCTTTCCCCAGCTTTGCATGACAACCTCAGGACAAACACTTTCTTCCCTTGGGTCCAAGTCCTCACCCCAGGCTCTTGATGATGGGGGTGTGTGGAGAAGGCCTGGGAGGAGCTGCCATCCCAGAAGGGAATGGGGGAAGGCCTGGGCCTGAGGGTGGACGTTGCACACTGAGCAGAGACAGCCCTGGGAGACGGTAGCTCTGTGCTTGAGAACTCTATGAATCCCTGCTTGGAGATGCTTTCAAAACCCACCACTACCCCAGAAACAGAGGAGCTGGGAAAGACAGACACAGACACACACACACACACACCCCTCCCCGGACACACACACACACACACCCCTCCCCGGACACACACACACACACACCCCTCCCCGGACACGCGCACACACACACACACCCCTCCCCCGGCCGAGCTACACACACACACACACACACACACACACACACACACACACCCCTCCCCCGGCGAGCTGCTGGTCTGAAATGGGGACCTCCCTCAGGACTACTCCTGTCTGGCCCATTCCTCGGTCCTGCCTGGAATACCGAGCGACGAGTCGCCTGAAGGAACTGGCCGCCCCGAAGATTCGTAACAACATCTGGAGCGTGCCCATGTCTGAGGTGGGTGCCCTGTGACCCCGCGACTCACCCACGCCGGGCGGGAGGGACCGGGCAGAGGAAAGAGGCTTTGCCTCTGGGAGTCGGGGGAGGAGGGGAAGCGGCACAGGCGGCGGCCTTGGTTTGGGAGCAGCTTTGCTTGGATCGCTCCCGGTCTTCAGATTTGCCCCGGGTCATCCTTCCCTGCGTTTCAGCCCGGGGTGGATCCCAGAGCTTCCAGCTCACACTCGGGAATTAGAACAATCTTATCCCAGGTGTTCAGAAAGCGCTCAGTCCACTTCGCATGGAGACGCTCATCTCTTCCCCAGCTCAGGCCGGACACCCGGCCACTGGCAGCCACTGACCTGCTCTCCCCCTGCACCTTGTGCTTTTCCCAAAAGTCGCAGAAAAGGAACCCCGCGGACTTGACCCGGCTTCTGCCGCCCCCGCGTGCATGTGACTCTTGCGTGGGTCGGTAGTTTATTCCTTGTCATCAGTTGGCCGATCCAGGCGCCCACTGAAGGGACTTCGGGTGGTTTCCCGTTTGCGGCTGTTACAGTAAAGCTGCCACGAACACGTGTATGCAGCTTTTTGTGGAAGTGTAAGAATCGGGATTTCTCAGTTACTGGGCATAGCTAACTTTTAAAAAACTGACCAACGGTTGTCCAAAGTGGCGGCGCCATCTTGCCTTCTCTGGGTGGGGAGTGGGAGCTCAGGCGCGCCCCGTCCTGGCCGCCATCTTGCCTTCTCTGGG